CCTGTGCTAGCTGTGGATGCACAGCACATACTGTACTTTCAGTCCTGCCCAGAATAGTAACAGCAGTTGCAGTGCAGGTTGCTGTCAGCAGAGGTGTGAGTGACAGGGTGGCCATCAGAACCATTTCATTCCCTCATGCTTCCCCAGAGCGAGACGTGTTAGCAGCGCCTGCAGCATCTGCACCACCCCTGTGCTTTTTCATCGTGTTTTCCCTTCATTTCCTCCTGAACTGCAGTGCTCTCTCTTCTTTTCTTTCCTCTCTCTCTGGTCTTGCAAGAGATGAGGAAGAAAAGTTTTTATACCGTGCAAGGAAATGGATGTAAATTGTTTATGGTACCTGTTAACCACCCTGGGAGTGAGAGCTGGCTTTGTTCTGCCTGAGCCGTAAGCAAACCTTACATACTGACCCAGACCTGCAGAATCCCTGTTTTGATGTTGGCTGTTGACCCTTTTGGAAGGGAGGGAACAGCACAGCTGGTGTGAGACAGTCTCTTTGCATACGTAGTTCTCTGTGCGTTGCTGGGCTTACTCAGCAGGATCTTAATCTGCTGTTCACGTTGTCACTGGCAGTTCTTGGTCTCCCCTCTAAGCCAAGTACATTGAGATAAAGGGATCAGCTCAAGACCTTGCCTTTCTTGCACATACTTTTTTTTTTTTTTTTTTGGTGGCTACTTTCAAAGAAAAACATGATTTGCATCACAGTCATATTTAAGTTGAAGGGCTTTTATCTCAGTATCCCTTTTTGAACTCCACAAACACAGGTTACTCTTAAACACTGGCACGTTTCTCAGTGACTGGTTGAGCTTTATCTCACCTCAAAAATCTGACTCTCCTGAGCTGAGATGCATTTTACATTCAGGGTGGCCTTATGACTATATCATAGTCGTTCTTTTTTTTTTTTTTTAGCTGTGAAATAAAGGGATGGGTGAGAGCCTTTTAAATTCATAAGAGATATGGGGTTATTTCCAAGAGTTTTTCAGTGGTAGTTCTAGGCAGGTGTATTGGTTGCCAGGTATTTCAAGAATGAGGTTTTTTTGGTTTATATGACAGTTGATTCCATGAGATATCTCTTATGATGTCACAATTCCACAGCACTGAAGGCTGTGTGGAAACATCCAGAGAAGCAGGAAACCCTTTTTGACAGGTCATTGTCTGTGTGTGGCTTTTATGTTCCACCTCAGAGTGGTCTGGAAAAACAACCTAACAGTATTTATTCCCAATCTGTGCCTGGCAGGAGATAAAAAACAGCTCTAACCTTGAGTAACTTGAGGTTTGATTTGGGAGGAACAAGAGTAAATATGGAATTCAGAGATATCACTGTGCTTTTTGAATCTTCTACGAAACATGGAGAGAGCAAGTGCTTTTTATTTTAAGTCCAAGAAGAGTATTAGATAATAAGCTACAACATTTACTCCTTGGTCAAGGATACCTTGGGCATCTGAGCTGTCTGGGTTAGGTGATTATTTTGTTTGTGCTTTGTAAGTATGTTTGCAGTCTTATTCATCTAAAAGACAAAATACCTTTAGGTATTGGGTGACTTGAACAGAATTCTGACTTCAAGCAGCTTTTGATGTCTAATTGCACATAATGAAACAAACTTCCACTTTTGCAGGGGTCACCATCCACCAAGAGGCGGGGGCAGATGTTACAGCCCATTATTGAAGGTGAAACTGCCCATTTTTTTGAAGAAATTAAGGTATGTCCAGTGTTCTTTTAAAAAATACTTCCCACCACTTGTAATGGGAAACTGAAGCACATCATATTTACGTTGAATTTCTGCTTTGACCTTCAGGAAGAAGAGGAGGAAAGTGATGGTTTGTCTACAGACCTGAATGATATCTTAAAAACTGCTGCCCAAACCCAACCTGTTCTAAGCCCAGTGGAAAACTCTGAGTCTGATGTTGAAGATGGTCAAGAGAAGCTGACCCGGGACCTGAGGCTGTCCAGCACCCGTGCTGCTTCCATGTATGCAGGATTTCGTTTGGGGAGCTGCAATCCTTGTCCTTGCAGTCATGACACTCAATCCTTGATGCTGGGTGGAAGGGAGTGACATGTTCAGGAAATGTTTGGACTGGAAGAGTGTTCTTTGCTGTGATGTGTCTGACTAAGATCTTTCTGTATGCACTGAATTGCTTAGTGTCTTCTAAACCTTCCTCAGCCTTGAGCTGTGTAGACAGCAGAACATTTTACCCCTTTATTAACTGCTGGTTAATAGCAGTTTGATCTCAATATTTCACCAGCAGACAGACAGCACGTTCCTTATGAGCCAGACACATGAATTATTAGTGCAGCTACCTCAGCAGTTTCTGAGGGGTTTAAATTCTATTCTGTGGCCAACAACACAATATTTTTCTTTTTCTCTTGCAATTTTTAGGCCTGAATTATTGGAGCAACTGTGGAAAGCCAGAGCTGAGAAAAAGAAGCTACGTAAGACCTTACGAGAATTCGAAGAGGAGTTTTATCAGCAGAATGGAAGGTTTGTTTAGCACTGAGCCAGATGCTGGGCAGCAGCCTCAGGGTGCAGCCAAGGATTATTTTTTTTTTTTTTAACTTTCTCTGTGGATGTTGCCAAATGGAATCTGATCTGTTTTGATCTCTGCTATGAATAATCTCCTGAAGGCGATAAGTTTAGGTATTTTTAACAGTGGAGGAAGCCTGCTCTTTAATTTTGCTTCCTCTGGTGCAGTCTGTAAAGCATAGTAATTAAGATGGAAAAAGTGAGGGTTTTCCATTTAAAAAAATCAGCATTAAAAAATACTTACTAAAAAGTATTCTTATTTGAATATATGTTGTCACGAATTGGATTGAACTGCTGGCCACTGTATTTTTGAGGTGTCTCACCTCATAAACAAAACTAAGAACACTCCTAAGAGGTCAGTCACTTGACTGTCCTTTCTCCTGTATTACTCCTAAACTACAAACTCCTGGACCATTGGTCACACAGATTCCAGTAATGTGGCTTCATTGTGTACTTACTGAATTTGGCACATAACTCCTTTTGACTTCAATGGCAAATAATAAGGTTAATAAGATTATTAGATTAATTCATTATGCTCCAGTCTTAAATAAGAATAATTCCCCGCTGCCAATTTGTGGGTCGTTCTACATAGAGTAAATATGACTTAAATTTATTTGTATTTTTCTGGAATCTGCACACAGGACCTGAAATGAAAGTCTTCATATCCTGTTAATAAAATCCCCAAAAGAGCTTTAGACAACAATTAACACACAGTGCTGCAGCACTTGTGCTGAGTAAATGCTGCTGGGTTTACCATTCAGTTCAATTTTAGCTACAATGACCTAAAATACATTTTAGTGCCTGTTCTTGGTGAACAAGCTGCCTAGAAAATGTTTTCGTTTCATGGCAAGAATACTCTTGTGTCTGACTGGGTGGAGGGTTTAGGCTTTGGCTGAAATCCTGATGTGCTCCTTTTTGCAGGAACGTGCAGAAAGAGGATCGGGCCCCAATGCTTGACGAGTACAGGGAGTACAAGAAAATCAAAGCCAAGCTGAGGCTCTTGGAAGTCCTTATCAGCAAACAAGATTCTTCAAAATCCATTTAAATTCTCTTCCTCCAACCTGTCGAGTAACATGGTGTTTCCATACACTCCCCCTGTACTTGTTGGGTGCTTGTGTTCATGTGTCATGCACTGTTGAAAGAATCCAGTTTGTGCACTTTATTGTGGTGCCACCAGGATGTGTTTGAAGGGTAAGCAGGTCCTGTCTAGAGAGCAAGTTAAGGTTTCTGAGACTGCTCTATCCAACTTTAGCAAACACAGTTTCCATCAGAGTTTTGTATTCCAGATGCATCCATCTTGTTCCAAAACAACCATAGCTTTTTTTTTTTCTTTTTTTTTTTTCTTTTTTTTTGCTTTAGCATTCAAGAACTTTGAGACTTTGGTTGCTACCAACTTTTTGCATTATTGAAGAAGTTATTAATACCATAATGCTACACCGAACTACTCCTCTTGCCTATTTTTTTATTACAGGGTGGGTGGGGGGGAAATCAGCAAATTAAAGGTACAGCTCTTATTCCTGGAACATTTAAACAGACTGAAATTCCTTTCAAAGGACTGCTGTGGAACAGCTTTAGTTTTTTGATACTCTAAATTGCACCTATTCACTGTAATAATTAACGTCAATGGATTTTGCTCATTTAGCGGTCACGTTTCCTCCTCGATCACGGTGGCGGTGGACAAACCAGAAAGTGACCTTTGCTTTAGTGGCTTTTAAAACTTGGAAAACTGAACAGTTCAATCACATGCTGCCTACAGGACTTATGTTACTGGTGTTCCTTTGATCTCTATTTTTTTTGTTGTTTTTTTTTTTTTTTTTTTTTTTTTTTTTTTTTTTTTTTTTTTTTTTTTTTTTTTTTTTTTTTTTTTTTTTTTTTTTTTTTTTTGGGGGGGGGGGTGGTTGTTTATCACCCACCCCGGTGGTGACGTAGTGTTTTGGCTGAATTGGATAACGCACCTCCGCTCTCGGAAGATTTGAGGAAGGAACACAATGAACACTTGGGTTGTATGGGATAATCTGATGGCACTCAGACCGGTGTGTAGCTCCAGCAGAAAGGAGCTGGCTTAGGACAGTTCAAAAATCCCACTGTACCTGAACTAAGTGTGGTGTCAAGGGCTAAAACCGGCGCAGTTAACGGGCCGGGCGTCGCTTGGGAGTTGCAAAGATTACTGCTGTTTATCACGGGGTTTGCTTCACAGTTGGAGAATAAAAACGAGTTACCTGACCCTTACCATGTAAGCAACGCAGTTTATATGGGCCTTGCATGATTTAGCTTCGGAGTTGAAACTAAAATAACCTTTTTGAGTCTCACATCTGCTGTGCTGAATGATGATTTAGCTACCGGCTTTACGCTCTGCACTCGCCGCCGTCTCCGAGCTGGCAAAATCCAAATGTTCATTTCAGCTGGTGCTTTCTCAAGGTTTTTTTGTTTTGTTTTGTTGTTTTTGTTTTTTTCTTCTTCAGTGTATCAGTTTGATTGTGGCCACGTTTTTGCATGCACCTCCTCTCACTGCATGTTTTTAGGACTGGCTGGTATCAACATAGCTACGAATTCACTCTCCGCTTTATGAAAGACCAAAAATGAACTTTCTCAAGAAATGGTTCGCATGTAACCTCACAGACTTGCTGTTCTGTCATGAAGCATATTGAAATAGGTTGCAAGTAGGATTTTTTTAGTGCTCAGATTTCATTTGTGTACTGTAGAATACTCCTTGGTTTGTTTTACTCTGCTTGTAGGCATGTAATTCTGGAATTCAGAAAAAGAAAAAAGCACTAAAACTCTTAAGCACTGGTGGTATGCCTTTTC